GGCTCCAATCAATGCCACTTCGTGGACATTGCGGGGCACCTCGCGACGAAGAAAACGCAAAAGGACTCACGTCGGGCAACGAAGCAACGCACTGCACCAAGCGCTAGGGGATGAGAGAGCGGGCAAATCGGAACCAAACATGGGGCCGATCCCGGAAAGCCGGTTACAAATGTACATCTAGTTGATTAGCATTGCGGGTTGTCATGGATGTCGTACAAGGCAGCCCTTCATGTCCAATTGCTTGCAATCAGTGGCGAAAACGGTTTAAAAAGTCTTAGTCTGGACATAGAAACAGACCTTGGCCTTCAAAGAAGATTGCGGGACTTCTTCTGACGAAATCGGTTCACTCGACTCAGCTCCAACTTGGAAACCATGTGGCACTGCTCCCGGCGCGGGGGGCGCCTGGCCAAGCCACCTGCCGTTACCTCAGAAGCTGGCAACCAATTCCTCACCGCTGACTCACTTGTCCCAAGGACCTGGAAACAACAGGTCAACCTTTTGGAACCTGGGAAATCAAATGTGGACCAAACCAGGTTGAAAATTAGATTCGGTTTTGGGCAAGCTGACGTCGAGGTCTTGGATACTCGAAACGTGAAAAGGTCGATTCGCTTTTTCTTGAAGCTTGTGATGTCAGGGTCTTGGATGAAAGACCCAAAGTCACAGCGAGTTGATGCCCTTGGCGTTCAGGAGAAAAGAATGCGAGGAACATCTGGCCATGGGTCAAAATCCATATCGCGCGCCCAGTGAACCTCCGACTCAACCCCCACTCAAATAGGTAACCCGAAGTGGGCGGTGAATTCCACCGACCCCAAAACGGGGCCCCAAAACGGTTTTGACCACCGCCGGCTGAGCGCCAGGGCCAGATCTCCAATGGCTCCAACCTCGGACACTCGTCTGGTGGTTTGGGCACATGCCAGGCTCAAGTGAGAGGAAAAAGCACCCAAGGGAAATGGCAACGATATCAACTAGAATGGCCCGGAAAGTCACTCAAACCTGCTCATGGTGAGTTTGATGAGCTTGAAGGAATGGTGTTCAAAAGAAAACATTGGAGAAGCCTACTCACCCCTCCCCAAAAAAAATATATATGCCACAAGTGAAAGCAAAGCAAAAGAGACACAGGCGGAACCAAGGGAAACCAGAAAAGACCAGGAGAAGGCAAGAAAAGCCCAGTGGACATGAAGAAAAAGAAAAACCGGTGGAAACCAAGAAGAACAAAGCGCGGGCAATTCTATGAGTACCCCGTGCTCAAGGTGGTTCTTTTGTCATAAAAGGACCTCGGGCGTCCGGCCATCCACGTGGCCGAAGACGAAGCAGGCGACGGTCAACATCCAGGTAAGGACCTCACAGGTCCAGTCACCCCGTGGGTCCGAGAAAAACGGTTTGGGTGATTTGGCAATTTTTGGGGCCATGGTTGTTTTGCCGTTGTTCGAGAAAACGGCGGGGTGTTGGGTGATCTATGGTCCTTTTGCCTTTCTTTTTCTTTTGCTTTTTTCTCTACAGTAGCGGCCAACTGTTTAGTTGGGCCAAAGCTTTAAAACTTGATATGTTGGCTCCTATCTTGCCAAGCATCCGTGTGAGAGGTGGTTTCGCGACAACTAGCTGGAGGAATACCCTCCCAAATGCTTTGTGGTTGCATAGATCCCAATGCAAACAGTTTCCACCAAAGGCCCACCCCCATCAATCTCATACCCAAGTCTCTCCTAGCTCATTCAGACTAAAACCTGAGTCACGGAAAGGAACTTCAGCATGAAATCAGCCAGCTTCCAACATGAACATATTATATGGTCTGTTGATCCACCGATTTTTGCAGTAGGGTGCTTTTTGAAATGAGGGAACCCTAAATGGGTTGCTTCCTTTTTATCATTTTAAGAACTCCCCGATAGTCTGGCAATCTTGGGGTGGTAGTTGGCTGAATTGAATTTCCAGCGCATTACAGGGCGCCCAGTCGCTTTCAGGTTTCAAATGCGCGGCAGGCATCTTACCCGGACAATCTCGTGATTCTGCAACTTCTGGGTTTCTTTTCCCAGAAGCGTGCAGAAGAACACGTCAGTTCGGATCACCAAGGTGCCACATCGATAACTACACCGACACCAAAGAAAGGTATTTCATAGGGGGCCAATGCATCCAAGGTAAGGCCGCCGAATGACACCGAAAGCCACGCGGGTTCTCAATAAGGTGGCAAACGATGGCCTCTATCTGGTTTCCCTTTCCCATACCCAAAACCCCTTACCATCTCGCTAGAACTCGGATGGGCAAACTCGCGTTCCAATAGAGGATTGCAAACACACCCGTTATCCACTGCGTAGACATCGGACGTTGCATCCATAAGATCCATAGTTTCAGGGAACAACCAACAATCTAGAGAAACCCAAGTGATTTTGATTAGACATGGATGGGTTCCACTGGGGTTCTTATCCCCAGACGAAACACCAACAATGGATTGCGCCACCATCCGCTGCATTTGGCCATGGGTCAAAATCCAAATCGTACCCCCAGTGAACATCTGATTCAATGCAAACAAAACTAGGTTCTGAAATGGGTGGTGAATTCACCTACCCCAAAACGGGATCCCATTGGTAACCACAACCATATTGCATCTGCATGGCCAACAGGTCCCTTATTTGGTGTTGACGTTTCTGGCCATGAGCTCCTTAACTGGCAACTTTGAAAAGCCCATGTGGGTGTGGCTCAAAATTAAACAGGAGGGGCAAACCGCAGGTTTTGGTCCATGTTTCCACTTACCAAGACAAGCCATTTTGGAACTCCTTGGTTTGTTGAGCCACAGCCATGTGAAGGTTTCTGGCAAGGGTACCATGACCATGGTCAATTCATTTTGAGACCAACCCCTTCGAGGCCGCGGCCCAAGCCAGGCCGAAGCTTCTGGCCACCAAGGCACGGTAGAGGCAGCCGTGGCTGGCCTTAGTCCCCGCATCGGCCGCGAGACTGGGTCAACTGCTGGGGTTGGGGCTTTCGTTTTTAAAAAAAGACCTCCTGTTGTTGTTGCTGCTTGTTCTTGCTTGTTGTTTGTTGTTGTCTTTCTGACCCACCTCCTGTTCTTGCTGTTTGTTGCTTGTTGCTTGTTGCTTGTTGCTTGTCGCTTGCTGCTTGCTGCTTGCTGCTTGCTGCTGTTGTTGTTGCTGTTGCTGTTGCTGTTGCTGTTGCTGTTGCTGTTGCTGTTGCTGTTGCTGTTGCTGTTGTTGTTGTGGTTGTGGCTGTGGTTGCGGTTGTTGTTGTTGTTGCTGCTGCTACTGCTGCTGGTGGTGGCGGTGTTGGTTGTTGGGTGTTGGGTGTTGGTTGTTGGTTGTTGCTTGTTGGTTGTTGGAAATTGGGTGTTGGCTGTTGGCTGTTGTTGGCTGTTGGCTGTTGGCTGTTGGCTGCTGGCTGCTGGCTGCTGGTGCTGGCTGCTGGCCGCTCACTGCTAGCTGCTGGCTGCTGGCTGGCTGCTGGCTGCTGGCTGCTGGCTGCTGGCTGCTGGCTGCTGGCTGCTGGCTGCTGGCTGCTGGCTGCTGGGCGCTGGTTGGTTGCTGGTTGCTGGTTGCTGCTTGCTGCTTGCTGCTTGCTGCTGGCTGCTTGCTGCTTGCTGCTGGCTGCTGGCTGCTGACTGCTGGCTGCTGGTTGCTGGTTGCTGGTTGCTGGTTGCTGGTTGCTGGTTGCTGGTTGCTGGTTGCTGGTTGCTGGTTGCTGGTTGCTGCTTGCTGCTTGCTGCTTGCTGCTTGCTGCTTGCTCCTTGCTGCTTGCTGCTTGCTGCTTGCTGCTTGCTGCTTCCTGCTTGCTGCTTGCTGCTTGCTGCTTGCCGCTTGCCGCTTGCCGCTTGCCGCTTGCCGCTTGCCGCTTGCCGCTTGCCGCTTGCTGCTTGCCGCTTGCCGCTTGCCGCTCGCTGCTTGCTGCTTGCTGCTGGCTGCTGGCTGCTTGCTGCTGCTGCTGCTGCTGCTGCTGCTTGCTGCTGCTTGCTGCTGCTTGCTGCTGCTTGCTGCTGCTTGCTGCTGCTTGCTGCTGCTTGCTGCTGCTTGCTGCTGCTTGCTGCTGCTTGCTGCTGCTTGCTGCTGCTTGCTGCTGCTTGCTGCTGCTTGCTGCTGCTTGCTGCTTGCTGCTGCTTGCTGCTGCTTGCTGCTGCTTGCTGCTGCTTGCTGCTGCTTGCTGCTGCTTGCTGCTGCTTGCTGCTGCTACTGTAGCTGCTGCTGCTGCTTGCTGCTGCTTGCTGCTTGCTTCTTGCTGCTTGCTTCTTGCTGCTTGCTTCTTGCTGCTTGCTTCTCGCTGCTTGCTTCTTGCTGCTTGCTGTTGGTTGTGTTGGTTGCGTTGGTTGTGTTGGTTGTTGTTTTGGTTGTTGTTTTGGTTGTTGTTTTGGTTGTTGTTTTGGTTGTTGTTTTTGTTGTTGTTGATCTTCTTCTTGTTCTTGGTTGTTGTTCGTTGTTTGCGTTTTTTTGCTTTTTTTGTTTGTTGTTTTTGTTGTTTTTGTTGTTTTTGGTGTTGTCATTGTTGTCGTTGTTGTCGTTGTTGTCGTTGTTGTCGTTGTTGTCGTTGTCGTCGTCGTCGTCGTGGTCGTCGTGGTCGTCGTGGTCGTCGTGGTCGTCGTGGTCGTCGTGGTCGTTGTGGTCGTCGTGGTCGTCGTGGTCGTCGTGGTCGTCGCGGTCGTCGTGGTCGTCGTGGTCGTCGTGGTCGTCGTGGTCGTCGTGGTCGTCGTGGTCGTCGCGGGTCGTCGTGGTCGTCGTGGTCGTCGTGGTCGTCGTGGTCGTCGTGGTCGTCGCGGTCGTCGTGGTTGTTGTTGTTGTTGTTGTTGTTGTTGTTGTGATTGTTGTTGTGGTTGTTGTGGTTGTTGCGGTTGTTGCGGTTGTTGTGGTTGTTGTGGTTGTTGTGGTTGTTGCGGTTGTTGTGGTTGTTGTGGTTGTTGTGGTTGTTGGTGTTGTTGTTGTTGTTGTTGTTGTTGTTGTTGTCGTTTGTTGTTGTTGTTGTTGTTGTTGTGGTTGTTGTGGTTGTTGTTGTTGTGGTTGTTGTGGTTGTTG